TCCAAAATTGTAGGCAGTAGATGCTCTGTAAGGAGCCCAGGACTCATCCGACAGCCCTGGGCTCCACGCTTAGCTCTGAAGCTCACTAGTGTGACCTCGGGCTAATGCACTGACCTTCCTGGGTCTCAGTTTCCACTTGCAAAAGGGGGTAATAAAGTAACCATCACAGAAGGTCGCCATGAGAATTGCCGTAAATACTGTGTGTAGCGTGCTCAGTCTGGCAGCCAGCACGCGGTAAGCCCCCTGTGTCCGTGTTTCATTCCCGCTCTTACCCAGAAGGCACAGCAGCGAGAACTAAGAACGTAGCCCATAAATCCACTCAGGCCCGCTCTGTGCTCTTGAACTCAGCAATGTCCCAGCCCTGAGGGACTGTCTCTGACACGTTGCCATGAACTGCTGTACAACCAGGTTCCTGCAGGAAGCCCCCAACACACAGCTCACGGATGTAGGAGGCAAGAGCCCTAGAAATATAATCAGCTCTCCTGATCCCCAAGCCCAAAGCAAAGATAATTCAAAAGAGTAGATGGCTGGGGAGAGTAAATGGTTGTTATTCACTTACGTCCACATTAAACGTAGCTTGTATATCGCGTCCGCGATGACAGCAAGAGAAAGCTGGACGTCAGAGGAAAGGTATTTGACGATGGTGGAAGTGGCCACCGAGAAGCCAATACATAGATTCACAGACAAGAAATAAAACAGGAATATGTGGAAATCCTGAAGAATTACCTACAAGTATATCATGGACCCAGCTCAAGTCACAAAAGTGATCAGGGAAGATTTTACTGCAGAATCACCCAGAATGGAGGAGCGTTTGAAACGGAAGGAACCGATGGAGAAAACGGGAATGAACACCTGTACTCTGGGAAGGAGGGCTAAGGCTGATGTAGAAGATATTTCAGACGGATGTGGAAAGCCTCAGCTGATGGCCAGGGCCCCTTCCGGCACACTGTGCCTGCGCTGCTGTGTCCCTGGGCACATGGAGGTGCCCTCCTCGCAGCGCACTCCCAGAGAGATTTTATTTTATTTTTAAATTTTATGTTATTGTATTTATATTATTTGATATCGGGATATAATTGACATGTAACCTTAGATTAGTGTCCGTGTACAATACAACGAATCTGTAATTTGTCCATATTGAGAAATAAACACCACAATACGTCGGTTACCATCCATCGCCACACACAGTTACAAATTCTTCTTCTTGCGATGAGAACGTTGAAGGTCTACTCCTTAGAAGCCTTCAAATGTGCCATAGAGTCAGTATTGTTAAGTATAGCCACCATGCTGTACAGGGTTCTGATTTAATAAAAAGAAAGCCGACTTAGAACATCTGCCTTGAAGTCCTTTCCCTGGCAGGGTACATTAGCTGAGAGGTTTAATTAAATATTAAATCAGTCTGCTGTCTGTATGCCTGATACAGCCATTCGCTTTTCATATCTAGAAAAGAGAGTCAGGACTTGCCAGTGGCGAGATCACTGCTTAGCATCTGGGTGATAACCCGAGACAGCCACAAAACGACCTTGGCCTGTCCATCACTCCCACGCTCAGGCGGTCAGGTAAGAAGTCCCACAGGGCGTGGACCAGGTTTTCCGCTCACACAGGACCCCGCACTGCTCCCCGGGACATGGGGACGAAGGCCGAGGAGAAGAAGGCTCATTTAACGTGGGGTATAAATTACTTCCATTCCTGAATATACAGTACAACATGTGGCAAAATGCCAGCCCCCCCGCCCCGGTGAGTTGTCCAGCTGGGACTAAAGCCACGCCCAGGGATGACCTGGTGCTGTGTGTGCCCCGATGACTGCTGCCAGGGTGCTTTACGCTGTATGGATGCCCGCCGCCCCATCTGCAGGCAGGACACCAACGGGGGAGCAGCGTTCTCCTGTGTGAACTGTAATGTCCCGCCATTTTTTTTTTCCTTGACTCCCTGAATTTAGGAAGAAGGAAGTAAAAAGCAATGGAGTCCACTTCTGAGTGAAGGAGCACAGCCACTTCACCTGCTGGTGCGCCTGCCCTGGGTGGGCGGGGTATTCAACAACTATGATGATGATGATGATGATGATGATGATAGCTCCCCAGCACAGAGAGGGAAGGTGTGAGGGAGTCCAGCACTCTGCACACTTTAATGCGCCACTTAATGGTCCTCATCTGTAAATTGAAGATAATAATGCACCTACATCATTACATTATTGTGAAGATGAAAGGAGAAGCGATGGAGAAAACACCTTGCAAGTCGAGGCAGCGGCATCAAAAAGAACAGGGTTTGAAACAGACAGACCCAGGTGAAGATCTCTACACTGGCTTCTACTCTTTGATCTCTCTGAGCTTCGGTTTCCTTATCTCCACCATGTACGCGGAGCCACCCACCTCGGCGAGGAACTGCCAGAGACGGCGGCTCAGACACCAGCCGGGGTCTGCGTCACTGGGAGCCACTCAGCAAATGCTTACACACTCTCCTTGATTAGACGCGTGAACTGAGTCTGTCCACCTCCGTCAGCAGTCGTTCAGTGTCATCCACAAAGATGCATTTCCTTTCTCAACAATGATTCTTTGACTCGTTTACTATGCCAGGCACTGGTTTTCAACAGCTTCCCACCGATTGGGTCGTCGGGGAAAGTCATGACGCCTTTTTTGCATTGAAAAACATAGAAAAATACGTCATGACTTCCCCGACGACCCAGTATGAACTCGTTTACTCCTCACCATAATCCAGTGAGGGAGGTGCGCCTGTTATCCCCATTTCACAGATGAAGACACTGAGGCACAGAGTGTAGGTAGCTTGCCCAGATTCGAACAGATGGTACCAGAGCCGCCAGCCCAGAACGTTAGTCTGTCCTAATCATGACGCAACAGTCCTTTTGGGAGTCAACCCATTTGAGATCCCATGCCCAGGTGTCATCTCTTTTAGAGATTAAGCCACGGATGCTCTCACCAACTACAATGTGTTGACTGGACTAACGTTTCAACTTTTGAAATAACATTTTATGTATTTTCTTAGAATTCTATAAGCAAAAACTACGATGTTTTAAACGAGGTTCCTATAACGAGATCATCTTGCCCTACAGGCTGAAATACCATAAATAAAAGTGCTTCTTTCTCTGAAGATGACCTAAATAAATCTTACGTTAAAATACACCCCTGAGTTGTGGTTTATACAATTGTATTAGAGGCCCGAATTAAAAAATACATATATATTACGGCAGTCTTAATGTTATCTGTTTGGTTAAACCAATAACGTCTATACCGAATAATCTGAATATTCTCCTTATTTCTAACATTCACTGTCTTAGTCACTGCCGTACTGGATGGTATTTCCAAGCCCTATTCCTTTGACAAATTTAATGAACCCAACTGCTAAACATCAATGATGACAACCTACTGCTCTACTTAAAAGGAATCTCTAGAGGAGAGATGAGAATGAAAGGCTAAAAAAATTCTACCCTTCAAAGTGGACCGGAGAGCTACCTATAAATCATGCTCTCTGTTTACGGCGATAATTAAGCCCATCAGGACGCTTAACTTTCAGACTCAACAATTGTCTGGCAATGAACAATTTCCACTTTTTCTAAGACAAAGGGGATGTGTTCAGAAGGGGGTCCTGTGCAAGCTCCCTGCACAATGCATGCTATTTTAAAACATGATTTATGTGTCTAATTCCTGGAGCTGCCTGGAAAAAAAAAACGCACTGGGTTTTTTTCCCTCCCGTGCTCCCTATTAGAAGACACTCCCATCTGAAGAGAGCACTCTGCCTCAGACGACAGGCTGCTCTCTCACGTCAGCAGTTTCATGCAACACTGTTCAAGCTGGACCTTCAACAAATGGAACGGAGAGCCACAGCTGCAGCCGCTGCAGAGGGACGGCGCGATCCCCTCGGGAGGCTTACATAAGAGGCGCAGGACAGCCAGGGGGAAACTCAAGTGTCATCTGGATCCGATTTCTCTGAGACCTGCCCACCTGCTTAACGCGTATGAAATTGCATGAAATCGCGTAGAGCGGGCATCTCATGGTCACCGCCTAACAAACAGCACAAAACGCTGGGTGGACGTGTTTAAGTTGCTTCCCTACCCCGCACCCCCCCCCAAAAAAAGGACGGGGCTCCAAATGATGGAAACGCGAGCAACTTCTGCGGAGAGAGAAGGGTCCAGTGGGGTGCGCAGGAAGCCTGGGGGCCCATCCCCAAAGGGCTATCGCCTTCAGGACTATTACAGGCGTCGCCCCCCCCCCCGAGCGCTTAGCATCGAGGTGACAAGACCCTGCGCGTTTGCAACGCGCACGTCCGTCCGAGGCTGGAGCCCGCGCGCCGTGTCCGCGTCTTGCGCCCAGACCTCGCCACACGGGCGCCCCGCTCCCAAGAGGCGCCGCCCCCAGCGTCCCACACCTGAAGAGGATTTACAAAAAAAAAATTAATAAAATAAATAAAAATAAAAAAGCCTACCTGCCCTTCGCACGGCTTCCCTCCAACTTCAGAAACTGCCGTCAACTCCCTGGGACGCCGGGGAGCAGGGCGCCTTCTTGGGGGACCGCGCTCGGCTGAGCGCCGCCGTGGTGGGGCGCCCCGCACCGCGCGGGCGGCCGCTCCGCACCAGCCGCCGGCCCCCGGACCGGCCAGGGAGCCGCGCGCGGCGACCGCGGCGGAGGCTGCACGGGGCCGCGCCGACCTGAGCGCTGCGCCGCCGCGGACCCCGGAGCGCGCGCCCCGAGCCCCCGGTGCGTGTCTCCCGCTCGGAGGCAGTCGCCACTCCACAGGGAAGGCGGCCGGCGAGAGGCCGAGGCGCCGCTGCCTGCAGAGCCGCCGCCGGCCCTCGGCCAGGCTCGGTCACACCGTGGGCGCACCGGCCGGCGGGCGGGCGAGAGGCGAGGGGCGAGGGGCGGGCGGGCGCCGCAGTCAGCACCGGCCGCGGCGTGGCGGAGAATGACAGCGCTGAGGAGGAGCGGCCGCGCGGAGCGGGCGCCAGTGCGCATGCGCCCGCGCGTCACCGGGGGGGGCGGGCGAGTCGGGGAAGGGGGCGGGGCGTCCGGGGCGTCCGGGGCGTCAGGGCGTCCGCGTTGGGGCCCCCTGGGGCTCGCCAGGTGCAGCTCCTTTGCCTGCTCACCGCCAGGAACCCACGTCACCTGCCTCAGATTTGGTGAGCCTAAAGCTGTGGGGTTGAACTTGCTCGTCTCCAGAGCCTGTCGTCCCTTAAAAACCACTGTTGACCCATATGCAGTCCTGAGGGCCTGGGCAAGCCCACGAAAGCCAACTGAACTCAAAAAAGTTATAGCTTAACCCATAAAGGCCTGGAATTTTAGTAGAATAGGGTCCTGTGTCTTGCCTGCGCCTTAAAATAACTTGGGAAACTTACAAGAGGCCTTGGCTCTGGCCTCACCCCGGAATCTTTGGGTGCGGCCCAGGTATCAGTAGGTTGTAAACCTTCCCAGGTGATAGAACAGAGCGTCTCTACCTTTAATAAACTTTGAATGAGTCTAAACCTTGAATGTGGGGCAGAACCTTCTGGGAATTTGGTTAAACTGCAGGCTCTGATGCCTTAAGCAGCGGTTCTCAACCTGTGGGTCGCGACCCCTTTGGGGGGTCCAACGACCCTTTCACAGGGGTCGCCTAAGACCATCAGAAAACAAAAAGATACTTACATCATGATTCATAACAGTAGCAAAATTACAGTTATAGAGTAGCAACGAAAATAATTTTATGGTTGGGGGGTCACCACAACATGAGGAACTGGATTAAGGGGTTGCAGCATCAGGAAGGTTGGGAACCGCTGGCTTAAGGGGACAGTTTTAATTTCTAACAAGCTCTCCGGTGATGCCAGCGCGGCAGGTCCAGACCACCCCATCCCTGCTTCTCAAAGTGTGGCCTTAGAATCCTGCTCAGAGGCTCTGAAACGGTGGGTCTGCTGAGAACCACCTGAGCAGCTTTTAAAAAATGCAGAGCCCATTTCCTACCCTTAGTGGTTGTGGTTCCGATGCTGGGAAGAGGTGGGGCTCTGGAATCCCATTCTCCATGAGTCTCACATGGGTGTTGTTTGGACCACACTTCAGGGCATTCGACCAGCCACCTGGAGGTGGGAATAGACTTTGGCAGTGAAAAAAGCCATGCCGGATCTAGAACTCAGGACTTTTGACCAAGTCAAAGTCCAGTTTCAACTGGTACTTTGTTTGGCAGATCGAAATTTTCTACAGTTAATATGCATCACTTAGTAGGAAATCTATCAATTATATTAATCATACATATTCTTTACAACTATCATTAAAGGGGGCTTAAAGTTATCTTTAGGAGGGGAGGGGTAGAGTAGGGAGCAGAAGGATGGAGGAGGGATGTTAGATGGCCTGTTTGCAGTGCATTGCAGAGGGAAGGGTACATAGGAGGAAACAAAGCTTGGATTTAACCTAGAGCCTCGAGAGACTCCTTGGAGAGGATTTAGGGACCAGGCTGGGCCTCCTCCTCATAGCACAGGGCAAAACTCAGATGTCCAAGAGCTTATGAATGTATGGTCACCTCACATTCATTGCCTCACTGAAACCCCACAGCAGTCTCATAAATTGGATTAAAAAAGATATTATGCCCATTTTACAGATTAAGAAAAGGATGCTGTGGACATTAGCTGACTTGCACAAACAGTGGAACTTGAACAACAGCACAGAGCAGGATGTCGGATGTGGCTTCTGTAACTAAGGAAAACAGTGAGTAAGATCTTACAGAGAGAATGGCAACCGTGTTTACTGTTCACGTCCTTGAAAGGCTGCGCCGACATATTGAGTGAGAAAGGCTTTCATTTGTGTAGGGAGGGAATGCATGTTGTGTCTGGTTTTGCCACTCCATGAACTGGGATGCAAAATGTCATTCTAAGACCATTCTAGTCGTAGGACTTTGCAGCTTTACCCAGAGGTTCAGAGAACAGTGCTCACATTTTCTGGTGCCAAGTGTAATCACCATCCTTGTTTGATCTAGGTTCAAAGCAGCTAGTGATTTAGTCAAAAATCCAGGCAACAGCCAGTCTTAAGCCTCTGTCCTTTTCCTCTGCTCTCCTTTCCCCAAATGACGCACTGGACACTGTTTTTCATACCAAGATTTGCCATCAGTAAATTAGAACCAAATGTATTTCAAAGCCACTCTTTGATACAGAGCCAGAGTGTCAGGAACGATTCTTGTGCTTGTGATAAATGCGACAGACTGTATCCTCAACCTGAGTCAAGTTTTGGAAGAAAGTGTGTGTGATATTTATATGCAATCTCCCATTTGAGAGGTTTGCCTGGGAATGCTGTAACTGTAAATTATGGCCTAGCCACCTTTATCTTTCCGGCCAACGTAACTCTTCCATTAGAGCTACTCTTCCGTGTGATTCTGAAATATATATTTAAAAAAAAGGAATGGATTCCTAATTAAAAGAGAATTCTCTGTAGATGAGGGAGCTGGTTGTAGAATTTTGTTAGTTCAGTTTTTCATAGGAAAATATTTTTTTAAAAGCAAAGGTAGCATGTTGGGACCTTTAGGAGAAAAATCCATCCTGTCTTCTTAGGTGTGAGAATCTCCACTCAAAATATTTATCTGTCTGGTCTATGAATTCATTTGTATATTGTATATTGCATTGCATATTAAGAAATCCAGGATTTAATTATATAGGAAGTTAATTAGTATGCCCCAATGCCATTGCATTTTGAGCCACTACTATTGGCAATAAACACATGAAGTGTGTGATATTGGATTCATATTGGCTATCAATATTGACTGTGTCTGATTTAGAATTTGTTTCTCATTAGCTGCTATTGTTGTCTGGCAGGAATAGCTGCTGCTTTCTCTCTCTCTCTCTCTCTCTCTCTCTCTCTCTCTCTCTCTCTCAGATCTGTGTTTCTTCCTCATGGGTCAGCAAAACCTGCTCTCTGGCTGAGACGTTCTTTATTCAATGCCTCTAAAAGACCCAAGAGTGAGGATTTTTAATTATCCAGATGCTAGCAGCTCCATTGATCCTATTCTCTGCTCATTCAAGGAGCTGTACCTAGAATAGATTTTTATTCAACCCTTTCTGCTAAGAATCACAGGCTTCTCGCTGAGCTGAGAAGTTTTGACCCTCAAATTCTCCAGATATGCTAATGACATTTCTTCACCGGTTTCACTCAAAGAGATTCTTTAACCTGGAAATCTTCCAACCTCTGCCTACTTCACTGTTATAGACCAGATAAGAGAAGTGGGGAGTCCAAGGTGACGGGCAAGGCTGTGGGAATGTAGAATTAGATTCCACTCGGGGGACAATCAGGCTGCCATAAAAATTAACTCAAGTTGTGCTTGGTTCTTGGACATGGTTTATTACATTTGCCTTGTTTGAACACGTGCAGCTGCTCCTAACTTCCCTGGAAACCATCACCAAATCCATGGTGGGATGTGGGGTGCACTCTGTGTTTTTTCCCTGGGAAACTTTGGAAAACTATGGGAAAGTCGAATTCCTCCTGCCCTAAGGCAGGACTCTTATGGAGTGCCTGAATTTCAAATGTCTACTTCTAACTTGTTTGTTCTACATAATCTGTTTAGAACTTGCAGCAGTCAATGTAATGCATGGCCTGGATTTTCAGGCTAGCTTTCCAGAATGT